CTTGGCTGGTGTTCTAGCTTCTCCTCGCTGTGGTTAACTAATTGCATAATTATGTGCTTCTGCTTTCATAAGTAGATCAATTCGAGGTTTAAATAGATCATTATGGCCTGAGGAGAATGACGCTGCTGAGGTTACCATGGGATCATGCCGACGCTCAAGCGAGAGGCGAGACGGATAAACAATCAGACAGTTAACTGGTACCATCGGAATTGGAACTGTTCGTTTGCTATTGAAGCTGGGGACAGAGCGTTTATGGGAGTGTCACGAGTGATGTGATGTCGACTAATAATTCAACATTCCACATTGTTAGTATCATTAACTTTAGCAGCTCTTGTGTTCTTAAAGTTCCACACTTTATGGTATTCACCAGACTACAATTTTCCTATTGAATTAAAAGTGCACAATGATTATTGTATTTATTTGACGTGTTTGTTTCTATCCTGAGAATTTAAGGTTAAGTACATTAAACATATATATTAATTACTGGTGTATTATGGTCGTGTTTTACATTTTCAGATACCTGTTTAGAGTCTCAGCGGTTTAATACCTTCCAGCTACCTGTGTGCATGTTTGGTGCCTTACAAATACCTTTTCGTTCGTTTCACATCGATAACTTTCAGTGCTTCGCCGCCTCCCCCTCCCCCACCCCTTTTTTGTTTTAACATTTATAAAAATTTCCTGTATAAGTCAGCATTTTCAATATTTTAACCTCTTTTTTATTTTGTCAGAATTGACAGCGATTTTCCCAAAATTGCGTGGATTTGAAGCAACGCTAGGAATTAAAGTGACTAGGATGTGTAAACTGATATGCAGCATGCTAATATTTGCATGTGCAGTAGATTTGTTTTGAGTGTAACATGTGCAAATGTTTGTTTTTTCCAGGTGCTGGCATTAATACCAACGACCTTATCTAATGAAACATCTTACAGTATTTCCACGGGAACTTACCTCACATCTACGGTTCAAATGTTCATCCATTGTGTTCATGACAGGATGAACATCACCAACAGTCACCGTGACTCAAGCTGACATTAATCGGTCACATGCTACTAACGTTCACTCGTATATTACAAGTAGTTTCCCGTTAATCTGACAATAATGGCCTCACAACGTCCAGATATATTTATTTTGTTATGGTGATTTACACAGGAAGTTCTGTTGAAAGTTATGGTGATTTACACAGGAAGTTCTATTGAAATTTATGGTAATTTACACACGAAGTTCTGTTGAAAGTTATGGTGATTTACACAGGAAGTTCTATTGAAAGTTATAATGATTTACACAGGAAGTTCTATTGAAAGTTATAGCGTTTTACACAGTATGTTTTTAAGAAAGTCAACTTCATTCATTACAATGTTAATATCGTCCGTGGTTTTCCTGAGTTTGTCACAACAAGTACACTAACACCAGTCAACAGTAATGTTACAATTATAAAGTAGTATAATTTATTTTATGACTTCCAGTTTTGCATAACTGCGTAGCTTTCTCAAATGAGGAGCAATAAAAATTATCGATAGATATATTAAATTAATCATGTCATATTGAAGTGATCATGCACAATCAGCAAATTATTATATTATATGGCGGTTGCCAAGCTATATTTATGGAAAAGCATGATAGAAATGCTTTTGCTTCTCTTAGTCGCTCCTCTTCTACCTTGGGGTGTAGAGGTTTGCCAAAAAGATAGCCAGAATTATCTGTCAGCAGTTTTCTTTCCGCCCTAGTTCCATTTCAGTCCTCTGTCAGTCAGGGACTGTTGGGTGTTGTCTTCCTAGCGTGTGTGGTCCTGTTGGTCAGGTTCCCTGGTTCTGGGCCTCCCATATCTGATATAGTGGTCGATTCTCTGCCATTCTGTATACATGTCTAAACTATCATAACTGTGACTGATCCACTCGAGTTTGTCTTGCCTGGGTTTCACAATCTTGACGTATTGTCTGATTGCGAACTAGAAATGCATCGCTAATAATAATCGTAATGAAAAGGATTTTCAAAATTAACCCACAATGAGAATTAGTTATTCCCATTAGATAAAGTACTCAGTTGGATTCCCCCTACGATCATTAAAGAGAAAGTAAAAAGTAAAAGCTTTTCAACTAAAATACTACAACAACAAAAATTCATGGAATACATGGACCAAGAAAATGAAAAACTCCGACATCTACTTGTCTGAACAACGAGAAGAACCGGCTCATAAACAGCATCCTGTCCTGAAAGCTGACGTATCTCGGCATGTTAACAGTCGTCTTGGCTTGTAGAGAACGCTGATGGGGGGTATAGTTTCAGGAAAGCTAGGCAGAGTCAGACCCCGCAAAGGACACTAAAGGTGCATTAGCTATGAAAGCACATTAGGGCTAAAATATAATTGGCTAGAAAAGGGAAAATCTCAGGCGTGCCGTGACCCGTGCGACGTTCTGCAACGGACCTAATAATTGACTGACTGACTGTTCTAGTACGTTAGGAAAAGGGAGAACAAATTACATCCAACAACCATAATGCTGAGAATGAGAGAAAGACAGAAAAAGATCCAAGAAAAAAAAAATGTGGGCCCGTAAGAAATCATTGAACATCTGTTTCATAAGTATTAGGCAGAAATCTGGGAGCAGGAATGATGACCATCACTTTCCTTAGACTACATAAAAAATAATTAGGTAGGTTCTTCCCTTCTCCCCAGTCCTAGACCTTGCCTTTTCTGGTAATTGGAAACACCCAATTTGAACGTTGCACAACTTAAAAATTGCACAGCAAATGGAAATCAGAAAGATGGAAAACTGCAGTCTCCCCAGATATTTCATCTAAATTATCAAATGTACCCATAAAGGAATTTCATTTATGGGGTCACTACACACATTCTTATTTTTTTTAAATTTTATTTAGAGGGTTAGAGCAGTTATTTTAAAATGTTCATTTGTAGGGATACATGTTATTACATTTGTATACTTTAAGTGTAAAACGAATTATGTTTGTCATGGCAATAGCGGCCCTCTTGTGAAAAAAAAAAAATATGTACCTAGAATCCTAAAATGTTAAAAACAAACATACGCATTCAACAATAGATGATGGATTTATGACCCTTAATCCATATGTGTAGTTTAATTACTTTAAACATGTTTCTAAATATTTTTCGTAGAATTTTAAAATGTAGATTTATTGAAAAAGTCAAAACAATCTAGCATCATAAGACAGTAATCAATATTTAAAAAACAAAAACTTTCACAAATTTACTTTTAAATAGACCAGTCCCTATATTATTGTTTAAGGCTGCTCAGACATCCAAAACAAATTTCATGTTTCTAGTCTTTATATTAGCAGAAATTTTAGGATTTCACATACACAAGAAACAGAAGTATAGAGATGTGAGAAAACTGACTTTTAAATTTTTTTTTTTTTACCTAAAAAAGGTGCATGGGTTGATGCCTTTAGTATTAACTTTTCAATGCTAAATTGTTTACAAATGACATACATTTTGTGTGTAATCTTTTCTACGAATGCCGAACTTTACAAAAACGAACACATTCAAGAATTGATATCTTTGTCAAAAATTTGAAACAATGCCGTGTAGTGACCCCTTATGTTGAATGGAAGCGAACTTCGTGCAATGATAATCATTTCTGTGCAATGAAAGTTATAATATTTGAATTAAGGCTATACCGAATATTCGCTTCGAGGCTGAATAGTGGACCTAATAACTAATCCGTATTCGGCCGAATACTTGCGGTCGGGCCGAATACGAATAGTGGTTACCTCACATCCGTTTCTGCATACACTGCGATAGACTCAAAATAACTCTCTCATTAACACAATAGTTGCTGTTGCCCAAGTCTGTCGTAGCGGCGGCAACTGCGACACGGTTGCGTAGTACACATCCAATTTTAACATATGGCTGTGAGTCATGGACAATCAGTAGGCATGCCAAACAATTTTTTTTTAGGTCTTGGAGATGTGGTTCTACAAAACAATGCTTAAAATACCGTGGAAAGCACACACACACGCACACACACGCACAGACACACACACACAAAGCAACCAAGAGGTTCTGAGAGAGGCGGGAGCCCTAAGACAACTTATCACAGACATCAGAAGGAGACAGTCATTATTACAGTCAGAGAAGATGGAAAATGGAACAAATGGTGACCACTGGAAAGATCTGTGGAAGGAGGGATAGAGGAAAACAGCGAGAGAAGATTCTTGACATTCTTGTTGCATGGTATGGAGGTGTGTCAGCACACATACTAATACATACTGCAGGAGATCGCAGACTGTGGCAAGGCCCACGCAAGTCGACAAGGCACCTGATGATGGTGATAACTATTAGTATTCGGCCGAATAAGTGGTGCCGCTATTCGTATTCGGCCGAATAGTGAAAATCCCTATTCGGCACAGCCCTAATTTAAATTCATAGGGCGGCATTCAGACACGTTAACTCATGCTGGTATATACCTGGAAGACGTGGGCTCGATCTTCCTATAGGATACTTCCTATAAGACCTAGTGGTGTAGGGTGCAATACCACTGATGTGATGTTCTTGTAATATGAAACATAACAGAAACATTCCTGCAACATTTATTGATTGTGAATGCTTCCTACGCCTATAATTTCCAGTGTTGAAGAGTAAGTAAGTAGGTATTTCACGGTCACAAATACTTACTGTAGCAACCACCCACCTTATAGTTGTTTCAAAAATATTGATAAGACAACCATGAATCAAACTCGTCCGTTACAATGTGAAGTATTTTTTTAACACAAATGTTAAAACTTAGAGGGTGTCATTATATGCGTTAATTCTGTAGTAATATTCATAGGTTCAGGTAATTATAAGACTGAAAAATTCCTTTAAATGGATAGTAATGTCAAATGTAAGGCATACATAATTGAATTATACCGAATATGCAAATTTAAATTCTTCGGCTATATACTGCATACATCATATTTATAAAGTAACTGTTAAACGCAGACTACTAGTTTCTTTGCGTGTTAAAATTACAAAATTACTACCAAATGCAATGCCTCGGAAGCGGAAAGAGAAAACTGAAAAAGAGGTTTTCCCAGAGAAATTGCAGAAGCCACAACAGAGAAACGCTGCTAATGCCAGAGAAAGATCTCGTATGAGAGTGTTAAGCAAAGCCTTTTCCAGATTAAAGGTAGAGTATGTTTATTATACTTATAAACGTATCCGTACGTCAGTGTGTGTGTGAGGGCGCATAACATTCTTGACCGTATTTTTTAAAGTTTGTTGAGTGTATCGACTCCTCTGCATTAAAAAAAACTCTATAGACCCCCCCCCCCCGAATTCACGGACGCGCGCTCTCTCTCTCCCACATACATATTCTCTCTCTCTTTCTCTTCCTCTTTCTCACGACCGCACATTTTTTACACTAACACCCACACACACTCACCAAACTGAACTAAATACGAATTACGACATAATTATTTATAATATAAAGTAATCAGTTGAATTTTCTTGTAAAATCAACAGCAAAATATTTTTTACACAGAAGTGATCAACAAGTATTCAACAAGAAGGAGTATCGGTCTTTGAGATACATGTCGATTGCTATATCTATTAGACCCAATAACTGACAATGAATCTCATAAGCAGGAATATGTTATCTGATATGTTATAGGTTGTGTTATGTTACCACAGCTGACATCCCTAAACATTGGGCATTTCTATGGCTGCTCAGTCATCCCATGCAGCAGCCCGCCAAGTGTACCTGAATTAAGTGCTTGACATTTCATTAAAACCTGATTTCAAGTTTTCTTTTGCTTTTCTTCTTCTTCGCGTTTACCGGCAGTAACTTCCGGTGGAAAGTCCTAGTTGTTAGTCAGTTTCTGGACTTTAGCCTTGACCTGATTCAGTTGTGTGTTCACATCCGTTTTACAGATTTGCTTATTTGCATGCTGACTGTTGGTTCCATACCTCTCAGGCAGATGCACTCTGACTTTGAAGAAAGCACACCTAATTAGTTTACATTAATCCCAAGCTTGTTAGGGAGGGGGGTTGTGTGGGTGGGGGGGGGGGGGGGTGCGCGTGGTGTAGGAGCTAGAAGCTTGCCTGCGGATCGAATGGTCTTGGGTGCGGGTTGTGACAGAACTTGACTGTTTTCAAAAATGACATTGGCTACCAAGTCGACTCATCCTTAAATGGGTACCAGGTACAGTTCTGGAAAGTAAAGCTGGACGGCATGATGCTGATCAAAATTACCCACCGAGTGCCGACGGGTCTACAAAATATAGGACTAGCCCTATAGGCCAAATACGCCTGAGACATGGAAAAGGGTCTTTACGTACGTGCTTGCTGAGGGCGAGTCCCCCCCCCCCCCCCCCCCCCCCCCCCCCCCCCCCCCCCCCCCACCCCGAAAAAAAATATGACCACGGAAGCCACACAGGTATTTTGTAGTGAATATGGTGATATTTATACGTTAACGCGTTACCAGACAAAGAAACTGTTAACAAAATAGTATCTCCCCCCCCCCCTTCCTTCCTCCCCCCCCCGGTCCCCCCCCCCCCGCCCCTTTGCTTTACAGTTAGACTCGCCGTGGTGTAGCAGCTAGACGCTCGTCTGCGGGTCGGAAGGTCGTGGATTCGGTACCTGGCGATGCCGGCTTTTTTCTCTGACAGTTTCTCTCATTACTCAACTGACAGATCCTGTAATACACAATTATAATTGCGCTGCGGAAATAAGTAATTTAAAAAAGTGTAGTCATTAAATGTACACCCTAAATTTCAATAAATAGGAATTTATATGTTTATAATTAGTATCATAACTTGCGGCTAGCCTGCGCACACACCGGCCCAAAGATAATTGGGTTTTTTTTCCCCAATTGATACTGATTTTAAATGAAAATATTGTTGTACCTATAAAGCTTTCTGTTAAAATGATCTCGGATGTATAAACATTTAGAACGCTCGAAAATGGTCTTTTTCTACTTTAAATTACTTACATTATCAATTTTGATCAGACTGAAATTATTTACTTCAACATACGTGATAATTCATCAACAGACAACGTTACCATGGGTACCTCCAGACACCAAACTGTCCAAGCTGGACACTCTACGTTTAGCATCCAGCTACATTGTCCACCTGAAACAGATTCTTGATCACGAAGACAACATGATGGCAACTGGTTGTATACATCCCGAAAATTTGGTGAGTGGCTAGAATATTCCGAATACACATCCTGAAAATTTGGTGAGTGGCTAGAATATTCCGAATACACATCCTGAAAATTTGGTGAGTGGCTAGAATATTCCGAATACACATCCTGACAGTTTGGTGAATAGGTACACATGATCGCAAACAAACCCTACACATTTGGCGAGTAGATGCACTATTCCGCATACGCGCCTTGAAAAATTGACGGCTGGATGCACGATTCCGCACACCCGCCTTGAAAAATTGGCTAGTGGATGGACTATTCTACATACACATCATGATTATTTGGTGAGTGGGTACACATTTTTACATACACATCAAGAATATGTGTTGAGAGGGTACAGTGTTCAACATAAACATGATGAATATTTGATGAGTAGGTACAATATTCCACATACACATGATGAATATTTGATGAGTAGGTATAATATTCCACATACACATAAAAAATAAATAAAATACTCGTAGACAGTAATCTTTCTTCTTCTTCTTTCTTTTGTCGTGCCACTGTTACCAGGTTGTAACCCGTCGTGGTTTTCTGTATTTGTCTTGCGCTTCTCGGGTGGCTTGAGTGATGGATTTATTCAACTGTTTGAAGGTTTCATCTACACCATTTATCCATCCTTTTCTTGATCTTGCTCTCGCCTTTCTCCTAGAAGTTCTACTGTTAAAAAGTCTCATATGTTGTCTAGTCTAGCTGCATTTTAACTAGATGGCCAAACCATTTCATTCTTTGCCTGTCAAAATAATCCACATATTGTCTTATTCCAACTTTCTGTCTAATGCTGGTATTCGTAACACTGTCTCGTATAGTGTTGGTGGTTTTGTTAAGACAGCGCATTTCACATGTAGTGATTTTCTATTCTGTTCTGATACACTATTCACCATACATATCCGAAAACTTTGGTGTGTAACAAATATTACACAATCACATTGTGAATCTGTAAGGAGTAGATACAATATAACACGTGTACATTGTGAAAATAGGGCGAGTGAACACAAATTACACATACATGTTGAAAAGATTCGATAAGTAGATACAATATTTTATTACACACACATGTTGTGAAAATATGGTGAGTGAATGCAATATTACACATACTTATTGAAAAGATTCGATAAGTAGATACACTATTCCACATACATGTTGTGAAAATATGGTGAGCAGGCACAGTTCTTCACCTTTGTTTGCCCATAAACGGGAGGTTGGTGCGCTGTTCTGGGATTGACAGCTGAGGTGTGATAACTTTTGTCCTGATATATCAGATTTCAGCAGATCGTTTATTAGTCACAGTTTGCAACAGGTTTCGTATAGAGCAGTGTAACAATTTTTTTTCCGACAGATGGAGAGGTGGGAGCACGGACCCCATGCGTTGATATGCCACATGCATTTCCTGAAAGTTTGGTGAGAAGGTATCATATTCTACACACGCATAATGAGAAGTTGACAGGATGATAAATAAATTACAGTTACGTTAGGGAATATGATGAATAAAAATACTAAATTCTGCATCAAAATGAAAAAAAAAAAAAAAATTGAAAATGTGATGAGTAGGAATATTACATTCTGCTGCAAAATCTGACAGTTTTCTAAAAAAATGTAGGTCTTCTGAAAGTTTAGCGAGGAATGATGGGAAATTATGTAATAACAGTGTGTACTGCAATTACCAATGGATGAGGTGCCAGCCTCACATTAGCAGCTTTTTTTACGACATGCATAGTATCTTATCTCTTTGCTTTCATTATTGGCCTCTGTAACGTGGACAATTTTTATACACACTAGCGCGCGCACACACACATATATACAATTTAAAAAAAAAAAAAGTCAATGTGCCTGTTTACAGCCTGGGAACGCGAAAGAAAAAAAAATAATAACTATAACGTCTTACCCTGAGGGGCCGTAGGCTTTACTCAAGGTAAGGGGGGAAAGAAAAGAAAACCAAATCTGACGAAAGCGCCATATTTGTAAATATTCAAGAGCGTAAAGTTTCCTTGGGAACACCAGGGGGCAGTTATAAGGATGCAGATTTTGACGAGTTTTGACGTCTGACACATCAGACCCTTACTTAATTTTTGAGGTGTTTTTTTTCCGCATGCACAATCTACATCAGTGTTTTTTGTAGTTTTAACTGAAAGAACATTTGTATGACAGTATACATTTTTCTATTGTGTATGAGATATAGAGCATATATGCCTGTATATAATTACATGATGCGACAAAAAAAGACGTTAAAATTAACATGATAGCTTTTGGGCTATAGTCGAAACAGTCGGTAGTCAGTACCGGTCACAATCTGGTTATTGTCCGTCTTGCCTTTCCTCTGAGTTTAGTGAACCGGGCATACCCTCTTGTTACATCCAGGTGCCTGATTCTCTCCAGGCTATAATAATCTTGTTTATGATAAAGAGGGAGTCCTAAAGGCCGATGAGATCAAGTGGACGTGGCAAAAGAACAGACCAAGTATCCATACACTGATGGGACTAATTCAGGGAGGGGTGACCAGGGGTCCAAGAGATATATTCAACACTACGGGAAAGACATAGGCGGACTTTTAATCAGGTGGCAACAGGTACTATTTGCATATCGACTCTTCGTTGGCTACTGAAGAAGGGGACGGAGCACGTGTGAGAATGTGCTAAGTGCAGGGACATCAATTCTTGGTTCATTATTCCATTCATTCATTCATTCATTCATTCATTCATTCATTCATTCATTCATTCATTCATTCATTCATTCGTTCATTCATTCATTGAAATGTTATGGATTCGTAAACCTTACGTAAATGTCAAGTAAACGTTACGGTGTCTAATGTGTCCTCGATCATTATATATTTCTGATATTCTTCACTATCATCAAATCAGTTTTCCTTTTTTTTTTCTAACTCCTAATGTTACTTTAATGGTCTTTGAGAATGTCTAGCGACCAGAAATTATTCAAAAATCCTAAAAAGATAGTACTCTTGCGTGTCGGTCTGAATGTTTTGTGTTCACTTCAGCATCACGAAGTGTTTTCATTATTGACCTGGCCTACACGGAAAACCCACGCTAAAATAGATCGTGGCAACAAACAAGTTTTAGTGAAAGAGGGGGAGGGCGAAAACCAAGCGTAAGCGTATTGGGCATTTTGGCACCATGGTGTGGAAGAATAATTACATCTGAAGTGATTAACAGTGCATTCAACAGTATGATGATGGCAGATACCATGACTAAAATTACAAGTTACAGATTAAAAAAAAAAAACCTAGTTAAGTCGTTAGTCGTTAGTCACGATTACAACATTATCAGCGCAGACGGTCGTCTTATTACTACTAGGTTTCTGTGTTGGTGGAAATAACACAAACTTTCCTTTACTGTCCTATTTGAAATCTAAAGAAACACAAAGTCGTGCACGCATTTATCTAAGTATCGATAAGACGAAACCTTGGAATTCCTGGTCCCGAAATGAGGAATTTGAATCAGCAGAAACCCACGCTGGAAACAACTAACATTTCAGAACGACAGTGGTAATCAGGCTATCGGTCGTTTGGACAGTAAGTCCCCACAGATTTAGTTTGCGTGTGTGTGCATATACCGGACCTTTCTGATTTGGTTTCATGAATCAAGAGTTGCTGACCCACCTACTGTGGTGCAGCAAGACCAGGGTAAAAACCGACCTACCCTCCTCACGGTTATCTCAGAAACAGTTTCCCAACAGGGATCCTGGCCAATGTATATAAGATTGACTTTCCTATCGAAGTCGGAGTGCATCTGCCGGAGAAATATATGGAACAATCAGCTCACAAATAATCCAGATCTGCAAAGGTGATTTGCACGCAAAAATCAAGTCCTGATTGTCCAATTCTGGAATTAGGCCTTGTTCGATGGCTCGAGTGTTGCGCGCCCATCCGTTTCCAGACCTCCTTGTTTTGCAGATTTGGTGTTTACAGCAGGTGAATTTGAAGAAGAAGAAAAAGAGATGCCATTTTACGTGGGTTTTCATTCTATTTCATGTAAGAAACTTTATACATTTCAGACTTGGCCGTTCACATTCAATGGCCGTAACACTGAGAGCTGCAACGACAAGGTGCAAGTAGGAAGTAGTGACAACACTGTCTCAAGTGACAGAAGCGATGACAGCAGCAGCCCAGCCATCTAAGATATTAGCTTATTAGGTAAACACTGTCATTAACATGATACATGGGGACATATGATAAAATATTATATCAAGTAAAATAAACACCTGTACACCTGTGAAACACCTCTTTACAGTTGAAGAGAGAAGCCACGCCTTTATTTTCCAGAACTTACCATGATATATAGATGGGTCAAAGGATGGGACGACAATTAATCCCGGCCAGGCAGATGTGGCCAAGGCCTTTTGAGAACAAGCAACGGTTTTAGTAGAGAAACAATATTATTATTGCTTAGTGATAAAGAGGCACATGGGTGTAACCAGAGGATTCGGCCAGCTCACTATACTCGGAGGAAAGGCAAGACGGACAGATAACCAGAATGTGACTGGTACCATCAGTGCTGGAACTCTGCGCTGGCTTCTGAAGATAAGGATGGAGCACGCATGGAAATGCCCCAAGTGCTGTGATGTCAATTCTTGACTCAACTCAACTCAGCCTAATCCATGTAATATCAACAGAAATACACAAGAGGGAGACGCATGCGTTAGTTGGCTGGTTAGGTAGTTAGGTAATTAGTTAATAGACAGATTATCCTCACATGACATCGGACAAGTCCATTATCGCTAGGATCCCAATTTATGTATCCATTCCCCTCCACCCCCTGCTACTCCCCAGCGTGTTGCATCTGATAACACCAGTTCCTATATAGTGTTCATGTCTGGTAACAACTCTTTTGACCTGCCGTTCTTGTTGTTTTTTGACTTTTGCCGACTCACCGTCGTCTCCTGAATCCTCTTCTCGTCCTACCTCCTGTGAGGTTAGATGCAGGACGTTGCAGAACCAAACCCAACAGTCCCTGGCTGTTGTGTGGTTTTTCTAGGCAAATATGAGTCCAGGAGTTTGCCTTTGCCCTGAACGGTCGGCTTTCTTGATACCATTGTCGAAACCATCGCAAGGCACATGGCCCGCAGCTGGGATCGAACCCGGCATCCCGGCATTCGCATCGACTTAGCCACAAAGCCGACACTGAGAATATCACTCCGGTTAATTGCCTTTTCTTTAACTACCGTGGTCCTACCAGCAGGCCAGTCCGCTCGTTCATTCCCTTTTACCATACAGTGCCCTAGCACATAAAGTAAACCGATTCAAAGAGATTTCCTCAGCGACTCCAATCTTTTCTTCGAATCTATCATGTCTCTATCTTCTTAAGCATGCTCATGAAATTCCTTAGAAATCACGCATGGTGAAAATGCTGTGTCTCTGGCCACATCATTGCTTTTGTTATCACCATCACCTCTATAGTCTAGGCAAAAGCACCATTTTTTTCTGTGTGTGTACATTTTACCCTCGAACCAGAACCACGAAAGCCTATGAACTTTGTAGGAGTCAAAGGACGGATCCGTCAGTGTAGATAACCGCACCACAGTCAACAGAATTTTCAAGAATTAAGGCTTGAACTTCTGCTTAAACAACCTACGGCCTTGTTGTTTGCATTCTCTATCCAGTTTTATGCAGACTGAAAAGGATGGCCACCACTCAGCGTGTACGCGATCCATTCCTCAGCAGTTTCTATGTCCTTAGTTAAAAAAAACTTGTTGCATAATGTCCCCAGCCGACCAACCCAAGATACTTCTCTGTTTAATCTGCTACCGTTCTTCTTGCGAATCTTTCTGTGCAATGGATGGTGTGTATTGGCACGGATTCGCAGATACGCACGTTGTCGACAGATCATTGTTCTCAATCCATGGTTGAAAGATGAAGGAGGTAACGCATAGCCTTGTATGTGGTATTTTTTGTGTATCCAAGTGTGATGCGCAGCCCGCTTTCTGTATCTGATTTAGTCTCTCTGTCTGTGTACGGCTAAGAGTCAGAAGAGCGTATGCAGTTACAGAAAGAATCAGACCCTTGTATAAAAAAAAGAAAATAAAGGTGCTGCTAACAGTATGTCGCAGTCATAATTCTTAGCGCCGTCAAATCAATTTTTGCCTTTATTATCATTGACATGCTCATAAAAGGTAAGGCTACGATCAAAGCACACTCCTAGATACTTCATTGTACCAGAATCTCCGAACACAGACATACAGTTGGTGTTTGTGTATCTATTTAATAGTTATTCACTGTCGACTTCGACACATTGACAACCGCTGCTGCTTGATCACACCACCTGCTTAGGCGACCAAATTCTGTCTGAAGACCCCCGACAACCTACTCCCGGTGTCTGTTATGACGGTACACTAACACATCATCAGTATAGTACAGTGTCCTTCCCGGTTCCATGATCTGCTCACCTGTTATTCTCATGATGAAAATGTTGAAAAGTATGGGGGATAAAGGTGTACCTTGTGACAGAACGGAATGTATTGTTATTGTCTCAGATGCCCAGCTACCACATTTCAACACCACCTTCCGCATGAAGACAGCCGACAAGATCCAATTAATGAGGAACTGGCTGAGACTGAGATAAAGAAGTTGACCAGCCATGAAGTCAAAAGATACCTTGAATGCATCCTCAAGATCAATCGCTGCAACACAGGTTCTGATCCCTGAGTGGAATCCCTCATAAACATCATATACAATGATCGCTACATGAAACGGTCGCTAAAAGTGCTAAAACCATTTTTTTTTTAACGCAACCATAATTGCAATTTCAATTAATAAAATATACTTTCCTCTTTTTTCAGGCAGAATAGAACCCTAAAGCAGCTGCTACAGACACTGTTTCTTTAGCTGTTGCCTCAGCTGACGATGGCTATCCAATTAATGTAAAACATCTACGTCGCTCCAACATACAACCATCGCATTCGAGTAGTATAAAAAACGTTGGTGCATTGAATAATGTATTGAAATATGTGTTTCTATGACAGCTCAATATTTATATCTGTCAGCTGTTCGGGAAACCCCTGTGGCGCATTTGCCAGGCATTTGATATGGGCGTGAACGCCTAGGGTTTGAATATTTATTCAGAGAGCGAACATTTATTGCTCGGACTTTCTTTCTGTCACACAGACATAGGTACCAGAAATTTCTTAAAAACTAAGTGCAGTCTGAGTGATGTTGACTCTATCACCCATCAAGATCTACATTTCAACATCATTACCCTCAAATGACTGCATGTTACACCGGGTTGATATGGCCGTTAAGGGTTTCCTAGTTATAATTTCATTCATGAGAAGTAAAAGCGGCCGGTGTGATGTTGACCACATCACCCACTAAATGCCAGTTAATCTACAAAATTTACATCTAGCCCTATTCACCCAAGACGCATCAAGGCGTGGAAAAGGGTCCTTTATTTCTTTTAATAATAACTTCTCATGGTCTCAACCATTTCAGGTCCTATAGGTCTGCTACCCAGATTGAGATCAACTGATCTTAGCCTGTCACAGTTTTCAGTTAGCGACCTGGAAGGGTTAAACAATAAGCATTTAGCACCCATCAATTGTCGATTAGCTATTGAAACAAATATGGGTCTTGTGTCAAATGCCTAATGAGCCAGAGAGACTTCCTTTTAATCTTCTTGTTGTCCATGCAGGGTAGCAATGGAAATTAAGTGAGACCATAATACTTGTAGCAACGGTAATGACGTGAGACCATAATACTTGTAGCAACGGTAATGACGTGAGACCATAATACTTGTAGCAACGGTAATGACGTAAGACCATAATACTTGTAGCAACGGTAATGACGTGAGACCATAATACTTGTAGCAACGGTAATGACGTGAGACCATAATACTTGTAGCAACGGTAATGACGTGAGACCATAATACTTGTAGCAACGGTAATGACGTGAGACCATAATACTTGTAGCAACGGTAATGACGTGAGACCATAATACTTGTAGCAACGGTTATGACGTGAGACCATAATACTTGTAGCAACGGTAATGACGTGAGACCATAATACTTGTAGCAACGGTAATGACGTGAGACCATAATACTTGTAGCAACGGTAATGACGTGAGACCATAATACTTGTAGCAACGGTAATGACGTGAGACCATAATACTTGTAGCAACGGTAATGACGTGAGACCATAATACTTGTAGCAACGGTAATGACGTGAGAAGATCATATTTACAGCAACGGTAATGAAGTGAGACCAAAATATTTATAGCAATGGTAATGAAGTGAGAACCAAAATATTTATAGCAATAGTATTGAAGTGAGACCATAATATTTATAGCAATGGTAATGAAGTGAGAAGATAATATTTACAGCAATGGTAATGACGTGAGACCAAAATATTTATAGCAATGGTTATGAAGTGAGACCATAATTTTTATAGCAATGGTAATGAAGTGAGACCATAATATTTATAGCAATAGTAATGAAGTGAGACCATAATATTTATAGCAATGGTAATGAAGCGAGACCATAATATTTATAGCAATGGTAATGACGTGAGACCATAATATTTATAGCAATGGTAATGAAGTGAGACCATAATATTTATAGCAATGGTAATGAAGTGAGACCATAATATTTATAGCAATGGTAATAAAGTGAGACCATAATATTTAAAGAAATGGTAATGACGTGAGACAATAATGTTTATATAAATGGTGATGAAGCGATACCATAATATTTATAGCAATGGCAATGAAGTGAGACCATAATATTTAATTTCGTGTAAAATCAATACTTTCTTATATCCAAAAAAAAAAAAAAAAAATTATTTAGGAAACAGCACGACGCAGCTTCCAAGTACTGGTAGCAAAGATGTTACTGACTAACTGACTCACGTGTGTGCGCATTAAACATACTCATTTTTATTGACACTCATTGACTACCGTCCAACAATTGTGCAATTCACCCGGACATGTTGATTGTCTAGACGATGTTCTTTGTTTTAATGAATAAAATGTCATTATAAAAAACTCACTAGTGTTATCTACGCTGTTTTCTTTAATTCTTGTAGATAGACGAGGTTCGTTTTTTAAAGTAAGTCCAGGTATATTTTAAAAAAATATATATATAAAAAAATAATATATAAAAAGGATTTATTGCAGCTAAAAGTAAACCACA